TGTAAGAAGCACATGATATTAATGTTAAAATGCACGTAGCAGAACAAGGCATTCATTAACTTCCGAATGGAAAGTAGAAAAGACAGAGAGAATCGAAAAAAGACGTTACGCATTTTCCATGGAAAGTGTGTGCTTGTGTTGGTTTTGCATGTCATCCATTATGAAATTCATTCATCATTCGTAAATATAACTCAACATGCAGACATTTTATACGTTCGGGTATTTCACATCCAATCTTTTATGGTAATATTCTTTACAAAGCACAAAAATGTCAGTATTCACCTCAAAAGCTAACAAAACCTTTAAACAGACTTATTAAGAAGGGATATAGTTACGATACTGTTGTCAGGTCATCAAAGATTGCATATTTTGGTTTTAATATTGATTCACTTATAGGGTCTTTGCATCGGAATTAACACATTTATTCTAAAACCAGTTGTTGGCATGACACGGGTTATGTTCTTCTCATATATTTTATGACGGTATAATACTAAACCCCTAACAGGAGGGATTGTGCCTGATATTCATATGATGAAGACATAATCTTTCAATCAGTTTAATTGAGGTCTGGAGCTGGCATGTCAGTAACTGGTAGTAGTCTGTTGTTATTTATGTATTATTGTCATTTTGTTTATTTTCTTTTGTTTCCTATTCTGACATCGGACTCGGACTTCTCTTATACTGAGTTTTACCGTGCGAACTGTTGTGCGTTTGTTTTTTTTACATTGGCTAGAGGTATAGGGGGAGGGTTGAGATCTCAAAAAACATGTTTAACCCCGCCCCATTTTTACGCCTGTCCCAAGTCAGGAGCCTCTGGTCTTTGTTAATCTTGTATCATTTTAAATTTTAGTTTCCTGTGTATAATTTGGAGTTTAGTATGACGTCCATTATCACTGAACTAGTATACTTATTTGTTTAGGGGCCAGCTGAAGGACGCCTCCGGGTGGGGGAGTTTCTCGTTGCATTGAAGACCCATTGGTGGCCTTCGGCTGTTGTCTGCTCTATGGTCGGGTTGTTGTCTCTTTGACACATTCCCCATTTCCATTCTCAATTTTATTGCTTTAATGTGATTTTTTAATTAATTTCCCTATTAACAGAAAACTGAATAATATTCTGCTGCCTACAATAGCATGTGTTTTTTGTAAAATATCTTTTATCTTCATCTGAATCCTATCAAACAAACCCTTTGCTGTATTACCTTCGTTAGGAATGCTCAGAGCCGAATATATAAAAGCAAATGATGTGTAAGTACCGAAACAGTTAAGGAGCTAAACTAATCTTTGCATTTATGAAGTTTGAAATTTTCTATCCATGATCGACGTATGCAAATTTTCCTGAGAGAAAAGTTTTTTTTATTTTTTAGGGGGGATCGAGGGGCAGAAAAAGTTTAGGAAACCAAATAAAACTACTAAGGGTCAATTTTGTCTGAGTGAGATGAGTTGCAACCTAATTTTTAATTCTTTTACATTATCTATATAAACTGGGATTTTTAATAAAATGTATAACATGTCATCATACTAGTACAGATGCACTGGCTACCGTCTCGGACATCTGCACCGGTGAATTGACAAAATATTCTAACCTTCAAGGAATCTTTGAAAAAATCTCCGTTGTATATAATTGACAAAAACAAAATCAAATCAAAAAGGAAAAGGAAAAGAAATCGTTTAAGATAATAAGCAAATAAACTGGCCTACACATAACAGAACCATACCTCAAAATTACGCAAAAGGGAATTATAACTTTAATTCCAGTACAATTGCATTATGTATTATGTATTTTATAATATATTTTAAACCTTATAATTTACAGACAAAATGCATCATTCAAACCATGCCAGTACCGAAGCCATTTTATTATGTTACAATGCATGCAGTTTAAATTAAAAAAAAACAAAGTCACATTGAATGAACAACAGACAAGATACTAAAAAAAAAGCTATAACATGTATAACAAAATATAAACCAAAATATTTAGGGAATATAAAAACATCGCCATTCAGTATCGCCGTCAGATATAGGCTTTTGGTTTAAGGCGATTAAATTCAAGGAAGCAATCATGAATCAAATTAATCGATTAATCGAAGCATATACATTAAACATTCAGAAACTTCAAAACAAAATTAGGTTGAAACTAAACAACAGCCAAAATAAATAGTTGTGGAGTACTTCCCGGTCGAAGCAACTTAGTCCAGTCAGGATTTTTCGTGCGTTTGTGTTTCACGTGTAGTTTCTTTTACTATTGGTTCCTTTTTTGTCTTTTTAGCCATGGTTTGTAAGTCTTTCGGGTAATGATCAGTAATGATATTGAACCCCCTTTTTGGTATTCCCCTGTACAGTACATACACCACACTGTGCTTTCTACAATCTCTTATGTACCGTTACAGTGCACCCATCACCATGACTGTGTTCTCTACAAATTTCTTCTCTGTATTTCCAGCATACCATAATTTTCAAGTGGCAGTCCTAATGTTATGACTTTTATCCAAGCGTCCAACTTTGCAGAGATTCTCTAATATTGAAGGCCGTACGGTAACCTATAATTGCTTACATCAACTTCGTGTGAACTCTGGTGGATAGTTATCTCATAAGCAATTATACAACATATCCTTATTTTTATATCAAGTATAATACATGGTCTACTCTTGTTGCAAAGTCTACAAAACATAACCTGCTTCGTGTGACAGTCATTATTAAAAATTAAAATTAATATCTATAAAGTTCTAGCCCTCACCTATACGCTTAAAATTCTACAATCTTTAAACTATTTTCCAATAAATGACGCTTAAGAGGGTCTGGATGGGGCCCTACATTTCTTTATTCTTTAATATTTTAGACCATTTTCCCTTATTCTTTATTTATTTTGCCCATTATTGAGGGTGTGGATGGGGGTTTACAGAATAGATAATAATAGGCAAAAAATATAAAGAATAGAGATAAATGGACAAAAAAATAAAGAATGGAGAATAATGAGGTGGTAAATATAAAGAAAAGAGAAAAATGGCATAAAAAATTAAAGAATACAGAAATGAGGGGCCCCATCCAGACCCTCTTTATTCTATATCCTTTATTATTTAACGCCCCATTATTCACTACTCTTTATTTTAATTGTTTTGCCTATTTTTCTCATTTCTTCTTTCTTTTTGCCCTTCATTCTGCAATGTTTGCCCATTATTCTCTATTATGTAAACCCCGTCCAGATCCTCACTTAAGGATTTATTAACAAGGAGTATTTTGGAAATTGATATTCTGGTCTGGTTATAATTTTACTTCAATAACTTTTCCCAAGACAGAACGGAAATAATTAGTCTGTCCAATAAAATGCAGCAAAATGCAGAAATTAGTCGTGTATACAAGCGAAAATATAATTTCCGCTTGAAAAAGATAAAAATAAAAATCCTCCTGCCCCGCCCCCCGAAAATCAAATACACCCAAAGGTGACAAGTACAACATTGAATATAGCTCTTCAGTACGTCTTCGCTAATCTTAAACATACTCCGTACGTATTTGCGTTTATGAACCCGATTTGCTTTCGATGAATGTTGGACAAAAAGCATACTCCGCATAGGCATTGATGACCCGAGTTGCTTTTGATAAATGTTGGACAAAAAGACACGGACATAAATGTCAGTTTTCATGGCGTAGTAGACCGTAAGGGGCAAGGGGTCAATTCCACTTTTAAGCAAAAAAAAATATTGATTGACAAAAATTGAAAATGAAAGTGGACATTGATCATGAATAACTTTTTGACCATTATGCTATATAGAAACGACTTCTTTTGTGTTGCTTTTTTTTTTGGCACTTTCAGAAGTTTGTCAAGGATTTAATAATGATACACAAATTAAAAAAAAACAATTAAGCTGGCTGTAATGTTAAAATGTGATACATCTTCATTTAACAATGCTAGTTAACAATTTCCTAATCTTTAAAACGAGTTTGTCTTATCGATTGAAAAAGAATTTATGTCAATAGTTTTGTCTCTTATGAATAAAAAGTATACATGCATTAAAATCATTCGTAAACTAATTAAGTCAAGGATTTGTCTTACTATACAAATCCTTGATTAAGTGTAACTTTTTTATCCAGTGATTTTTTGTCCTGTCAATTTTGTTACTTTCTTTCCGTTGTCTGTACCGCTTTGGAAATCAAATTAAACTATAAGTACGGTAACTCCGACCATTTAACAATTAGGAAGTATTATTTTTTTTCTAAAAAAAATTCTGATTCGAAACTTTGAAAAAACAAATGTTTTGTTACCTTTACCTATCCTGTATTTGCCACCTATAGCAGATGAACCACTGGCACTGTTTTCTTTGGTATTGGTTGACACAATATATGTATATTCTTCAAACAGATAAAATCGGTGCACTTATACAATCAATTAAAAAATAAATTAAAAAAAAAACAAAAGGGGGACGGAAAATAAAATTATGATTGAATGTTTTTGCCATTAAAGTTATGTTAAGTTCTTGAGAGAAAAAAACATTCCTCTTTTTCAAAGTTAAATGGTCGTTCCTTACAATACAACATGACGAAATTGCTACTTTTCGAATCAATACCAAATTATACGCATATTATGTTAATGTTGTACATATATATCAGCTGGCCGCAAAAAACTAAAAGGTTCAACTGACCGTATAGGAACTCTTCGTTCATAATTTGTTTTGTGATTTGGTCCAACACATAGTGTTGATTTGTAGTCAGATTTGTTTGGATATTGTACCCGTGTAATAATATAAGCGTGGACTTTTAAATCCTTTTGGATGTGCTCCTCAACAGCAGGAGGAAGTTACAGAAAAGAAGAAGTTTACATTGAGCAGGTGTGAATAACTTTTAATATCTTCCGTGTAATATAAGCCCATCGTCTTTTAAATATGCAATTGCGTTTTATACTGTAAAATACAAAGTGATTTTAGCTAATTTCGACCGTGTAATATAAGCCCATTGTGAATAATCAAACATTTGATGTGCTCCTAACCACAGGAGGAAGTTACAGAAGGAAGAAGAGGAAGCAGGAGAATGGACGTATCATCGCCGCACAGAATGAAATGTTTGGGTTGTTGATTTGTAGGATAGAACAAAGATGTTGATATAATATAGGGTAAAGGACATTTGTGAAGGATAAATATCGAGATAAAAGTCTAAACGTGGTAAAATAAACAGTAAATGGTACAATATGGCGGGAAAATTCAATTTCTTTAAAACTGTCAGGTTGTTTCGGTCCCAAGTAAATTCGGCCCAAGTCGATTATCATAAGGCCATTAATGAAATAATGAAACCATTTCTATACACCTCTTAGTTTTGTGAATATTTTTATTCAAGGTAAGATCAATTTGCACATGAAAGAGTTGTGTAAATTTCGTAGATTGTCAGGAATATTTTTAGGAAACTCACAGGAGTTTTGAGAATGCATAGGTGCTTGAAGACAGGACACTGTGTTGAGCCACCCCATAGTCCCTCCCCTTTGATATCATATATCTATGATTTTTCAATATATACCAGTTATGTGTACCATATGTATACCAATATACCATATTTTTACTCTGAATATGTTTACTATCAACGTACCAATCAACTATGTGGCGCGCTAAACACAGCTAGGTCCTCATAGGCGGGGCCTTTTGTGGGAAAGATTAGGGTGATTATATAGGGAATCACTGAAGCATGACTGGAGCGGGCCCCCCTTAGGTCAGTCAGTGCCCCCCCCCCCCTTATAAAAAGTTCTGGATAATAATAATAATAATAATAAATTCTTTATTTATCTTTTATGATACCTGCCAGACAGACATATACAGCTTGCAATCCTTCTATACAAAAAATATAGTTGACCTATTGCTTATAGTTTAAGAAAAACAGGCCAAAACACAAAAACTTAACACTGAGCAATGAACCGTGAAAATGAGGTCAAGGTCAAATAAAGCCTGCGAGACTGACATGTGCATCATAAAATATTTCCATATACCAAATATAGTTGACCTATTGCGACGGAGGCGGCGGTGTTAACTAACTTCTTAAAAGCTTTATATTTTAGAATGTGGAGCTTGAATGCTTCATACTTTGCATATAGATGCCTTATGTTACAAAGTTTCCGTCTGTCACATGTCCATTGTCCTTGACCTCATTTTCATGGTTCAGTGACTACTTGAAGAAAGTTAAGATTTTGGATCCGCCACTGGTCCTGTCTAAGGCACTTATGCTGTATGGGAGAATGGACCCCTTTTTGTCGAGCCTGCGACGGAGGCGGCGGTGTTAACTAACTTCTTAAAAGCTTTATATTTTAGAATGTGGAGCTTGAATGCTTCATACTTTGCATATAGATGCCTTATGTTACAAAGTTTCCGTCTGTCACATGTCCATTGTCCTTGACCTCATTTTCATGGTTCAGTGACTACTTGAAAAAAGTTAAGATTTTTTGTAATGTTAATTTCTCTCTCATTATGAGTAATAGGATAACTATATTTGGTATGTGCGTACCTTGCAAGGTCCTCATGCCTTTCAGACAGTTTTCATTTGACCTCGACCTCATTTCATGGATCAGTGAACAAGGTTAAGTTTTCGGGGTCAAGTCCATATCTCAGATACTATAAGCAATAGGTCTATTATATTTTGTGTATGGAAGGATTGTAAGGTGTTCATGTCCAACTGGCAGGTGTCATTTGACCTTGACCTTATTTTCATGGTTCAGTGGTTATAGTTAAGTTTTTATGTTTTGGTCTGTTTTTCTTATACTGTACGCAATAGGTCTACTATAATGAGTGTATGGAATGATTGTAAGCTGTACATGTCCAACCGGCAGGTGTCATCTGACCTTGACCTCATTTTCATGGTTCAGTGGTCAAAGTTAAGTTTTTGAGTTTTGGTCTTTTTTTCTAATATTATATGCAATAGGTCAACTATATTTGGTGTATGGAAATATTTTATGATGCACATGTCAGTCTCGCAGGCTTTATTTGACCTTGACCTCATTTTCACGGTTCATTGCTCAGTGTTAAGTTTTTGTGTTTTGGTCTGTTTTTCTTAAACTATAAGCAATAGGTCAACTATATTTTTTGTATAGAAGGATTGCAAGCTGTATATGTCTGTCTGGCAGGTATCATCTGACCTTGACCTCATTTTGTTGGTTCATTGGTCAATGTTAAGTTTTCATGGTTAAGTTTGTTTCTTAGATACTATAAGCAATAGGTCAACTATATTTAATGCATAGGATGATTGTAAGGTGTACATGTCTGCCTGGCATGGTTCATCTGACCTTGACCTCATTTTCATGGTTCATTGGTAAATGTTTAGTTTTCTTGGTTAAGTCTGTTTCTTGAAACTATAAGCAATAGGTCAACTATATTTAGTGTATTGAATGATTGTAAGGTTGATAGTTGTAGTAAAGCTTTATATTTAGGACTATCAACATAATATCAATGGTTAGTAAAGAAGGTGAGACATTTCAGCTTGTGCACTCTTGTTCTAAAAAAAAATGTGTTATTAATTTTTTTTAGTAAATAATCTCTAATATTTTATCTTATGTTCTTGTATTTTATGTGTCCTCCTCTTTTCCATATGAATCATGATATTACAATAAAGGTAGTTAATAAATTTTGACCCTTTATTATTAATTTCCATTAAATTTATGTTAATTTCAGCTGCTCTTTAGATGAAGATCTTTCTATACAGTGTGATGAGCACAGTTTCATATTTTGTGAATATTCAATATACTTTTTATATATTTTAGGATAGCAACATGTTTAGCTGAAAATTTGGTGTGATGGAAGTCAAAGTAAGTATTAATAATAATAATAAAAAGAGGGTAAACACAGTAACTTACATTAACCAATCTTTATGCATCATTTGATATTTTTAACTTGTTTAGCACCAAGTCGGACTGTATACTTGTACTTAAAAAATTACCACTCCGACAAAGCTGTGTTCACTTTCAAATCTGCATTCATGTGTTTACCCATCAATTTGCCACATAAGCATATAAGGCACTTTCACAATTATTATGCTTGTACAATTGTTAAGCAGAAAATTTTTGAAGACACCAAAGAGGAGTAAATTTGATTTCCAAGTGAAATATTGACACATTGTGCTTTTCTAATTCATTTGTGTTTTTCAGTGGCACTAGATCTAGATAAACACTACCAAATAATTTGTCAACCAGAAAATGAGCATGTGACATGCATGTAGGCCAAGAGGATTTTTTTTTTTCATTATTGTCATAATTGTAAAATTAATGTATCAAGTACTTTCAAAGTTTAAAAAATATATATATTCCTAGTACAGATAAGATAAGATAATTTTATAAACCGATCATGGTGCCCAAAATTTGAGCAATACAATCAAATGAATTATTACACAATAAAGCATGTATACCATATTCATGATATTGCGAAATAAATATCTGTGATAAGGTGCAAAAGAATGCAAATCAGCATACTATATATGAAAAGCTATCCTATCTGCAATGTTTTGATCGGGAAATAGTTGACTGTCAAAAGTAAGTTTAAAAACAGTTTATGTAACAAAATGCAATTTATACACACATATTTACAAATATTTATTGATGAAAAAAAAATATTGGACAATCAGAGACATTTTGTTTTCATCTGTATGAAGTTCTCTTTCGATTCAAATCTATAAAATGTTTTGAAAGCAGTTATTTATACACAGCCTTTTTTAAAAAAAAAAGATAAGATAGTTCAAATTATCAGTGGTGGTTTACAATGTGTCAGAAGAACATGGACATTAAAAATTGGTATTTAGTTGCTTTAATTGCCCTGTTAATGGCATAATCTAAAGAATATGATTAAATTTAAATAATAAGTCACTTAATTGTCTTAAAAACTCAAGTGAATTGACTTAAGAGTTTTTTGAAAACTTAAATACATTTAAGAAAAAAATTACATGTCTGACAAACAGACAAACAATGTATGAACATGGACATTTGGTTTTCAGACTAACTTTAGTAAAATCTCAAATACCCTGTAACCAAAAAACATAAAAAATATATTTCAAATTGAATTTTTGTTAATAATATTATTGAAGGGATTTAAAAATGATTTCTAGTAATGGAAAAAGGTTTGCAAATTCAAATTTAAAAATATATATGATTTTTGCTAATTAAAAAAAGTGTTTTGGTTAAAAACTGTAGTAGATAAAGAGAAACTGTAATCAGCAAACATGATCAACAATACAAGATATACAAATAAGTCAAATGGTATGAATCATCAGGCAGCACCTTATAGAAGATGATGTTTAAGCTGATATCTTGAAGACTATAATAGATAGAATTATATTTTGCACAGCAAAAATGAACAGCAACATAAGATGTGAAAAGAAATAAGTCACTATGATTGAAATCCTTACAGGAGTTGTGCCTTAATCACAATTTATATCCCTTTTTAGCTCACCTGGCCCATAGGGCCAAGTGAGCTTTTCTCATCACTTGGCGTCTGGCGTCCTGCCTCCTGCGTCCGTCATCTGTAAACTTTTACAAAAATCTTCTCCTCTGAAACTACTGGGCCAAATTTAACCAAACTTGGCCACAATCATCATTGGGGTATCTAGTTTAAAAAATGTGTCCGGTGACCCGGCCAACCAACCAAGATGGCCGCCATGGCTAAAAATAGAACATAGGGGTAAAATGTAGATTTTGGCTTATATCTCTGAAACCAAAGCATTTAGAGCAAATCTGACTGGGGTAAAATTGTTTACCAGGTCAAAATCTATCTGCCCTGAAATTTTCAGATGAATCGGACAACCCGTTGTTGGGTTGCTGCCCCTGAACTGGTAATTTTAAGGAAATTTTGCCGTTTTTGGTTATTATCTTGAATGTTATTATAGATAGAGATATACTGTAAACGCAATAATGTTCAGCAAAGAAAGATCTACAAATAAGTCAACTTGACCAAAATGGTCAGTTGACCCCTTAAGGAGTTATTGCCCTTTATAGTCAATTTTTAACCATTTTTCGTAAATTTTTGTAATCTTTTACAAAAATCTTCTCCTCTGAAACTACTGAGACAAATTTAACTAATCTTGTCCACAATCATCATTAGGGTATCTAGTTTAAAAAATGTGTCCGATGACCCCGCCTGTGAACCAAGATGGCCGACATGGCTAAAAAATAGTACATAGGGTAAAATGCAGTTTTTGGCTCATATCTCTGAAACCAAAGCATTTAGAGCAAATCTGACGAGGATAAATTGTTCATTAGGTCAAGATCTATCTGCCCTGAAATTTTCAGACCAATCAAGCAACACTTTGTTGGGTTGCTGCCCCTGAATTGGTAATTTTAAGAAAATTTTGCAGCTTTTGGTTATTATCTTGAATATTATTATAGATAGAGATAAACTGTAAACAGCAATAATGTACAATAAGATCTACAAATAAGTCAACATGACCAAAATTGTCAATTGACCCCTTAAGGAATTATTGCCCTTTATAGTCAATTTTTTTCAATTTTCATAAATTTTGTAAATTTTTGTAAATTTTTACAAAATATTTTCCACTGTAACTACTGGGCCAAGTTCATTATAGATAGAGATAATTGTAAGCAGCAAGAATGTTCAGTAAAGTAAGATCTACAAACACATCACCATCACCAAAACACAATTTTGTCATGAATTCATCTGTGTCCTTTGTTTAATATGCACATAGACCAAGGTGAGCGACGCAGGCTCTAGAGCCTCTAGTTATACGCATGTTTACGGGACGTATTATGGTATACCGTTGTCCGTCCTTCGTCAACATGTCGGACAATAACTCAAAAACACTTTAAACAATTTTCATGAAACTTTGGTGAATTGTTTATATCTATTGAAGTAAGCTCCCATTTGATTTTTATAAATTTTAGATTTTACTTTCCAATTATTGGCTTTTATTCATAAAAAATGGGGGATTTTCCAGTTTTCTGACTATAACTTAAAAATGCTTTGAACAATTTTCATGAAACTTTGGTGAATTGTTTATATCTATTAGAATAAGTTCCCTTTTGTTTTTTTTATAAATTTCTGATATGGCATTGAGGAGTTATTGAACTTTATTCGTTGAAAAAGCGATTGATCATCTTTTAACAGTTTTAAAAGTACATGCAAGTGATATTCTTTTATAATTAGTTTTTTTTTATCTTTCAGGAGTTGGACCCCAGTATTTGGGACTTACCCCTTTCTCAGATGATATCACCATACATTGTAAACTTTATGAACATTGCCAAGTATAATGGTGCAAATTATTATTTTGCAAAAACAAGATTTCATGATTACTTTTATGAATTGATAGAAAACAAAATTGGAACATTACATGGTATGGATGAAAACTGTATAGTTGGTGTACAGGGAATTGGATTATCAACTACTTTAATTTATTATGTCCTCACCTGCATCAAAAAAGGTATCAGAAACATTCATTATATTGACTTAAACTTGGTCAAAGGTGAGACACAGATGAATAGGTTGAAAAATTATGCTGAGGAAATGAAGTCTTCAGGTGTGTTAATTCTTGATCATGTGACTTTATTTAACAGAAGTGTTGTAGCCGATGTTGAATCTATGGTACCTATGAGTAGAATAATCTATGTTAAATCAGGGTTCTCAGCAACTAGGAACCAGTTTGATAACTTTATTGGTAAAGAGTGGGAGTTAAATCGTGAAGAGTTTAAAATAATCTGGATGGAATCAATGAGAAAGGCTAAGTACACTTCTAATTCGGATAACCAAGAAATTTTTATCACAGAACTTTATGATACTTGTAAGGACAAATTTATTTTGACACCTCGGTTACTGCATAGAGTACATATATTCTTTGTGATTGATGGCGATCAGTATAGTAAAGAGGGAAGAGATTTGGATTACTTTATGATGAGATACAGATCTAGTTTAGGAAGAGATATTACAGACTTTAAATTGAAACTTTTAGATGTGATGGCATGCGGAACACTGCAAGAAAGGCATCAAGGTAGTGAATTTTCTCTGCATTCAAAAATCCTATTAAATCAGGTTAAAGTGACAGGAGTTATCCTGTTAAACCTAGAGAGTGACAACCCATTCAAGATACCCGTCAATATATTCCATTGTAAATACGGTATAGTAAAAGAAAATGATATTGAAAAGGATCCAAGATTTTTGGAAATGGGTTTCCAGAAGGGAGATAAATATGTAACTGTTACCCTTTCTCCTCCAGAGTTATTGAAGCATTGGGAGAAGTTATTCCCCTTTGATATACAGGCTATTTTTGACAACACAGATACAATGAATGCTGAAAACATATTAGATATTTGCTTTCAGTCAGAAGGAATTAGGAAAGAAATGGAGAATGAACTAGTTCGTTTACAGTATCAGTTGAGGACATTGATTGTTCCTGGTAATATTAGGGATTCAACATCTGAAACACACTGTAAGATATCAGATGTATCAGTTAGATGTGTTTTACCACAGTGTAATTCTGTAAGAATCATTACAAATCTAAGGGAGATAACTTACATAAATCTTACTTCATCTCATCTTGAAAAAATCTCTGCCAAATTAAAATATCGTGGTCATGACAGAAACGTTGAAAAAATTGCCTACTTTTTAAGGGACGAAATTGAAAAGAATATGGAGCGCTGCCTAATTATTCATCCAACAATAGACAACATGAATGGTTTTGATTATATGGTGTACACTTCTACAGATACAGGAAGTCATATTGGAGCGAAAAAAGCAAAGAAAGCTAAACAAGAGAGCACACCAATATTATATTTAGTACAAGTTACAACAGGTGCCCCACATGCAGGTAGATCTGTAGGAGAAGCTCTAAGGATATTTAAGAGTGTGATGAATGGTTTTGTACATCTTCATGTTACATTCATCATTGCAAGGAAAGAGGGTGATACTTACACATTAAATGGAAACACTTGTTTTGAGAATGCTTCAGTTGTAAACTTGACCCATCTAGCCATAGGAGGGATGATAACACAAAGTAAACTGTTAAACAGCATTATTTCCATGGTGAAAAGATCATTAATTGTAGGCTGTGTTGCAAATACATCTCCAGACATATAAGAAAATCAAGTTGAAGTTTTCCTCAATACAGATTTCTTCAATAGAATGACAGCTTACTGTGTACAACTTTCGTCTTTGTAGATTTGCATCTTGTTTAGTTGATTTGCATGGACTTTCAAGATTGGTCAGTTGAGAAATATATCAGTGTAAAGCAAATTATAGAAAAAGAAAGTTTTCATTAAGCATTTATTATAAAATTTAAATAATCGTTGATTTAATATAATTGCATGAGACTAGTCAAAGAAGTATCCAAGAGGAATGAAATAAACTCATTTTTGCTTCAACAGTGTTCGATAGTTTAGTTTACTGATAGCAGTAATTTGAGATTTATACTTAAATTCATGAATAAGTAAACCATGTAAACATTCAAAAAGATTGTTTTGTATGTCTAGAAGTTATAAAAGACTGAGAAAGTCTGACAGGACACAAATATTTAAAATATCACAATCTACCTTTCTTTTAGCTCACCATGACCAAAGGGCAAAATGAGTTGTTCTCATCACTTGGCATCCATCATCTGTCGTCATCATGGAATGAATATCAAGTTGAAGTTTTCCTCAATTCAGTTATTTTTTCTATTGATATTTCAACCATATTTGGCCAATGACCCCCCCCCTTCCCCTTTTCCTAAAAGAGACAACATTGCAAACATGGCTGAAAATAGAACATGGGGTAAAATGCCAGTTTTGTCTATTATCAAACCACTATAGATAGAGAAAATCTGATTGTCAAATATTTTCAGAATGATGAGATCTACCTACTGCCTATTCACATCAAAACTGTCAGATGATTTCTTATAGGAGTTATTGCCCTTAAATGACGAATTTTACCAACTTTTTTTCATTATGGCCTTTTGTCTTAAAAAATGTAATAAAGATAGATAGAAGCTTTCAATGTCGAAAATTATCAGCAAGATAAAATCTACAAAGAGGGTCAACACAGCAAAATGGTCAGTTGATTCATTATTGCCCTTTCATGAGGATTTTTACCATTTTTTTGATTCATTGCTTATTTTCTTGAGAACTATAATAGACAGCTAGAAATTTTAAATAGCAAAAATGAGACAAGCTCTACAAATAAGTCAAACATGGCCGTAACTGTCAGTTAACTTCTTATAGGAGTTTTTGCCCATAAATGATAATTTTGACAATTTTTTTCCATTTTTTTCTTTTATTTTGAAAACTGAAATAGATAAAGGGAAACTTTGAATAGCAAAAATGGTCAGCAAGGCAAGATTTACACAGAGTCAACATGCCCGAAAAGGTTAAACAACTTCTTTTAGCAGTTATTGCCCTTTAATGATTTTCATCGTTTTGTTTTTTTGTTTTTGCCTTGAATCTTGAAAAATGCTCTAGATAGATAACCACTCTTAAAATCAAAATTGAGTAGCAAAATAAGATCAGCAAAAAAAATTTTTAGGCATACATTATTTTCTTTAAAAATGAGGAGATGTGGTATGATTGCCAATGAGACAACTAAAATAAGGGCATATACCACAAGCATGGGTCCCTACAATGTCTGCTATTTTCAGATACTGTTGTGACCCGTCTCTCATAATTTCAAACGTTTCTTATAAATCACACCATGGTTTTAGAATAGGAATGAAGGATCACAGTGGTCCCTTAGAAATTACATATAGGCTATATTCATGTATATTTGGTATTGGGATACCCCGTAACATTCAAAACTTGATTTGTTTCACAATCCATTTGAAAGGCATTAAAGCAATGTTTGTAATATTTAGAAGAGACAGCTGGAACAGTGCTTTATACCTTATGGACTATTTCTGGTAGTTAGACCCTCCATAACAGAAGGAATCACCTTTTATAATTACATATTTTAGAGTATATAGAAAGAAGAAGATGTGGTATGATTGCCAATGAGACAACTCTCCACCAGAGATCAAATGACATAAAAGTTAACAAATATAGGTCACCTTACAGCCTTCAATAGTCTTTTCCTTTGAAAAAATTTGCATTTGAGTGTTTGTCTTGCCACAAAAGTCTCAGAATGCAAAATATAGGGATGCTCATAGCAGAGTAAACTATTTGAATAAAGCTTTTAATTTATAGTATAGAAGGTTGAGATGCTTTCATATCTTGTATAAAGAAAAGTAACTACGTCTCAGTCAGTAATATGTCTATTGTCCTTGTGACCTCATTCTCGTGGGTTTAGCGATTGCAGAACCCTGCGTCTCTCCTGCTGTCAGTGTAAAAGTAATCGACTTAAAAAGTGAGTCCATTTATCAGCAAAATACAGAATTTAAAACTTTTTTTTTTAGATGCTATTTCTTGGTCTTGAAGATTAGCCATGAAGGTTTACAATTTTATGTCTAAGAAATTTAATCCCAGACTGTCAGTTAATGTTAGCTTTAAAAAAGTAAATCCATCTATCAGAAAAATGAAATAAATATATTTTTAAAAGTTTGCTTCAGACATTATCTCTTTATCATAAAAATTTCTGCCAAAGTTTCATAAAATTCTATGAAGGTTTGACAAAGTAATTGATGTGTAACAAAATTTAACCCCAGACTGTATCTACTTGTTAACTGTAGAAAAATATGTCCATCTTTCAGTAAAATATTTTCAAATTTTGCTCTGGATACTGTATTTTGGTCATAAACAAGCTTCTGTCCAAGTTTCATAAAGTTCCATGAAGGTTTAACCGACCAAGTTATTGTCAAAAATACACTTTAGGGAGCTACCATTTGATTTTTATGGGGGGGGGGGGGGGGGGGGAGGATAAACTAATAAAAAAAAAGGGAGGACTGAATAGAGTGAAAAATAAAAAGGCAGGACAGAGATTACAACTAAAAAAAATGCAGGACAAAATTTTTCATCCTAGCCCCCCATAAAAATCAAATGGTAGCTCCCTTAACCACTGACTGAACCTAAATGTTGACGCTGAAGACTCTGACGACGGAATCTAGGATCGCTATGTCTGGCTTTTGCGACTTAAATTTTGCAGGCTCGACAAAAATTTATGGAATGTCAATTTCACAGTTATTGTGAGTAATAGGGTATCTATATTTGGTATATGGGGTCCTAGCAAGGTCTCCAATGTCCATCACACATGGTTTACCTGACCTTCAACTTCATTTCATGGATCAATGATCAAGGTTAGATTTTTTATGATTGTCAGTTTCTCAGATACAATAAGCAGTAGGTCAACTATATTTGGTGTTTTGGATTAGTGTAAGGTGTATATTTTCGTCTGACTTTTTCTCATTTTCATGGTTCATTGGTCAATGTTGAGATTTTGTGGTTTGGTCTGTTTCTCGGATACTAGATGCAATAGGTCAACGAATGACGTACCCTAAGTCGTACAGATAAGAAAGATAAGATATGTTTTATTCCAATTAAAGGGCCCATGGAGAGAAAAGTAATTTGTTACAATGATTTAAATAATTGACACAATAATTTTGATAATCATGTGAGGGGAGTAGTTCTGGATACAGTGTATGGGGTATATTCCAAGGCACTTCAAATAATATTCAAAGCAGTAAAACAAATAACAGTTTAATGAATAGATATTCTTGTCAACACAGCTGAAGCATTTTCAAGAAAAAATCTTACCGTAGACCCTAACCAGCCAACCAGGAAGCTTAGCCATCATGACGCTACAAGACTTGCATATAGCGCATAACCTACTACGCTTCAGACAGGCAACCCGTCTTATTGTAATTCGTTCTTAATGTGCATCGCCTCAGACAGGCAACCCGTCTTTAGGTGATTATAGTTCATTTTCAAATGCATGTGTTATTATTATTTCATTTAAATAAGTTCATTCAAAATGGTAAGCAAAAATAAATAACATTACAAAATTATCGCAAACGTCAAATAAATAATAATATCGTTTCTGTTGAGCTATACCAGGTAAATAGAAATAAGAAGATGTGGTATGAGTGCTAATGAGACAACACTCCATCCAAGTCACAATGTGTAAAAAGTTTAACAATTATAGGTCAAAGTACGGTCTTCAACACGCAGTGGCTCACACCGAACAGCAAGCTCAGTATAAAGGGCCCCAACATGACTAGTGTAAAACAATTCAAACAGGAAAACCAACGGTCTAATCTATATAAAAAACGAGAAACGAAAAACACTTATGAACCACATCAACAAAATTCCACCAATGTAGATCTCACGACGGTACGTTTGACATGTACCATCGGGTTCAGCACTCCAACGTTGTTTTTAAAGTAACACAGCTGTGTGCCACTTGAGATGGATCGGGTTCATCTATGTACTACGTTCTATAAAAGCAAGAAGTGTTCCTAACTTCAAACTATTCGTGCAAACTATTGGTTTCTGCCATGACTAACAAAAGCCTAAAAGTCAGACCATCATAAACTCCCTAAATACAAAATTATCTAGATGGAGATTACAAATCCAAACATATGAGTAAGAACCCAAAAAATAAACCAATTCACATTATAATAACTATCTGACATTCTACACATCTGCCTACAGATACAGCCTAAAACTATTATTAATCACCAATTAAACCAAGTAAGAATATAATTTATGCAAAACAGTTACTCAGACATGCAGCACATCTTTGAACTATTGCCAAAAAGTAGAGGACAATATTTTAATCAAACAACTATAAGCACACACATGAAAATACACAAAAACCCTAAGAAAATACCACAAGGTAATATTTTTCAGTATGCCAGTCCAACTAAATCGTCAGTGATAAACACTTCCGGTTCTGAAAACATTTCAATACTACCGCAAACATCAGATTTTTCAGCATCAACATGTGCTTTAACCACTTTATTAGGACATTTTGCTCGTACATGACCAATTTGATTACAATTGAAACACCTCTTTATTTTACGTTTTCTCCGACACTTCAAGTACTTCTTGACAAATTTAGACAATATCTCAAAACATTTGCAGAACAAGTTAAACTGTTTTCACCAGATTCAGTTTCAACACTATCAAAAATAAAATTGCCAGTTGTAAGACAAACTGTTTCGTAATCAAGTGCCAACAATATTGCATCATCCAAACAATTCGGGTGTACATGTTTCAAAGCGACATGTTTCCCCATTTCAC